TGCGGCGCGAAGCGCCGCTCACACCTCCAATTTGCATGCGGAACAACTTACCCCTAGCGGCCGCGGGAATCAAATTCAACTTCAAATTCAACTTCTAAAAATTTCCTTCCCTGCGTATCCTAATTCCCCACCCACAAAATCCTATAGCCACTGTTTCCGTAGGACAAAAATGCTGGTACTAGGGCTATATGAGGTGCACCATAAAACTACTTTTGCCCAAGTTCAATACTTTTTTTGTCAAACATACATAATGCGTTATAATGAACACTGGGGAGCGATTCGATTGATCCAACCCGCCAACTGGCTAGTCGACTTTTAGCCGTAGCAATTGCAAGGCTTGTCTGAACTCCTTCTATTAGAGCAGAACAATGTGCGTAACTGAGGCGCTGTCATCTCCGTTGTTTATATTAGACGCTGTTATGGTACCTCGTTTGGATTCTACTGGGGAGCTTGGAAAGCTCCTAAGATATGTGCGCGATGTCCATTAAATATGTCAAAAAGCCTAACTTGAAAGCAGTTACGTCCTTCTGGAATCAAGCCGAAATATATTCCATAATACTTTATCACAGTTGCAGACTTGTCCTATCCGACAAGAGCATGCAATAGTTCAGATTTGTACACTACAGAGGTTGTCTAAAGTAGTCGTCGTTTTGGTTTACATATTATTGAATTAGTTGAGAATATTGTCTTTGTTTCGGGAACAGGGGACGTCTGGGCAGTGGTCTCCGTTTTTTGCCAAATCACCTGAACAGTCACCCTAGAATTGCAACCTGTTGTTTGGAGTATCTTTTATCCCTAAACTCTGTATTCAGTTATAACGCATACGTCAAATCCTACCGATAGCGACAATTGGTGTAGTACGGTACTATTAAACGAATACTGAAGAATTAACTAGGTACAAACCTTAACGTAGTAGTCAAGAACAAGGGAGTCGGCCAGATGTCATCTGACTCCAGACAAAGGAACTACGCACATTCAATAATGCCACATGTGTGCAGGATGAAGCCAGACATGGGAAAGCGTGTTTAGTGGGAGAGGGGGCGACCGCTGCTTTTATGTGACTTTGGAGCCAGTTCGTGTGGTTTACATTGTTGATTTGTATTGCCTGAGAGGGTGT